TGAAATGTGTAGCTCTAAATGAGGCTTCGGTTGCTTTTTGAGAGTTTTTCACCGGTCTCGTGAAAAAAGACTGCTGTTTGCTCAAACCTGCCTTTAATTCGCGGGCCTTTTCCGCTCGCAGTGTGCTGCCCTTTGGGTATTTAGCATGGTAGCTTGTGTGACACGTTCGGAAATGTCTCTCCACGTTGTGCCGCTTTGCCGTTGCCACAGTTGCCCCGCAAATGAGACACACGCATGAATCTTTCACAGTGGTAAAAAAAAGAACTCTTCCTCCCATTCACTGTGAAAATTATATGTTTTCTTCCTTTTTTCCGCCATGTTTTCCTCACGGTCTTCACGGCAACTGTTTCCGTGGAGACCAGCTAGCACTGAATATTAGATCATGATCTAATATTTAATAATAAACTTTAATAATAAACTTTTTTTTAATATATTATCTCTAACAAATTAACACCAATGCAATTGTGATAAAAAAAAAATGGCAAGAAAAAATAAAAATAGATGCAGCTTACTGGTAAGTTGTTATGGTGAGCTATTTTTAGAACAGGCCCGCGGGCGACTCATGTGGTCCTTGCGGGCGACCTGGTGCCCGCGGGCACCGTGTTGGTGACCCCTGCTCTATAGCAACCAGGCTGACACCTGCCTGCCTAACGAGCTCTCTCTCACTCTGCCAAGATTCATCTTAAACACTTCTCTTTCAACTGCTGCTGTGTCCACAGTGTTACAGCCATCATTTTACCCTCAAAATGTCGCCATTATTGTTCTCTTTCCAACACTGTGTCTTTCAAAGCTCAGAGATGTAAACTTTTTAAATTGTGTTGATCCAAGTGGAGGGATCACATTTTAGTCATTCAGTGATTCAAAGAATATGAACTTTTAATATTCATTCAGATGTTTTCTGACTCTAAATTTTCTTTTCTCATTACTTAGGTTTTTCTAATTTACCTTTAAAACATTTTCAGCTATTTTCCAACTTCTTCTTCTGTGTAAACGTCAGCTTTTAGCACTTCAGCACTTGTGTTTTCAGGTGCAAATTTCTGTATTTTTCATCTCATTCAACATTTTTAACTTAGAATTCAGCAATTAATTCGTTTCAGTGCATACATTCAGATTCAAGCATTCACACTGCAGTTTCTTCAGAAAATGCACATTCTAGTTTTGTTTTTTTTAGAGCTACAAATTCCAGAGTTCCATTTAATTCATCACATGAAGGTGGTCATATAAAGGCAGCTCTTTGAAATGAGCATCTCTGAAAGGATCATAGACTGGTTTTATATATGGATGTGGATCAACCAGTGGCCTTTTTTTTTTTTTTTTTTTGTTAGCCGCTGCCTTGTATGGTTTCTGGAGCCCAAAGTAACCATATTTGGATAAGAGGGTGGTGTGCTAAGTTGGATGCTGTATGACAAAACAAGCCTTATTATATGTCCGATAATTCCATTAAAAATGGCCCAAAAACCAAGACTAGGGATTTCGGTGATTTTAATTAGAGGAGGTGAGGCCTACAGCTCTCTGTGCCTCTACTCCTGTTAATCAAATCAACCCCCAAATTCTAAGCCTTTACAAAATCTAAGTAAGTGACCGATTATTTAGAAAATTCCCCTGAAAATTTTCTCTAAAGCAGGAAACTAATCATAGAGACCAACTTATTTTTCATAGCAGGTTTTAATCCTTTTTATTTCTAATGTAGAGTTGAACACTTTAGCATTGGAGTCTGTGAAGGCTGCCTCACTTTTTGAGCCAGCCTCAAGTGGCCATTAGAAGAACTGCAGTTCCGTATTGGCTTCCTTGTTCAGCTGCAGATGGATGAAACAAAAATTTTGTTTAACTTTAATTTTCTGTCTATGTTTTTCCTCAGGGAGCTGGATCCGGGATACATCGAAGAGTTTATGCCTTCAACGGTTTCTCTTTCTGCTCTTCCTGCTCCTCCTCCTCCTTCTTCCTTTCCATCGCCGCCACCACCACAAGAACAACAGGAACAAAAGACGCACCGGTCATTACATCACAGCCCACCATGTTCGGCAGTCCAACTACGCATCAGAAACCGGTAGGAGGTGGCTGAAAGCCTGTATCACCTTCCAATCAGTTGTGTCCTCAAATGGCAGTTATCCAATCATTTCTTGCCACCTGTCTGTCTTTGGAGTTCTCCACATGCGGCTGTAGTATACAAGGGTTTTAGATCGTGGTTTCTTTTTTCTGCCTTTCTAGGCAAGAAATATAACCATGGAGAAGAGTTTGTGTTCATGTGGTTATGATATAATTGGCTAAAATTAGCGTGCCATCGATTACATTTTAGGATTTTTTGCTCAAGCTCTTAGGATCAGGAGCTGTTTGAGAGACAAAAAAGGTACTTTAACACAAGCTCTCACTTTTTAAAATCAGTTGCATTAAAATTACTAAGAAACTTAATTTATAAGATATATTTAAAGGTACTTTTTGTAATTACCTACTGCAGGAAAAGATCAAATTTTCACCACTAGGGGCAACGTTTTACCACTGGGTGTGTTGTGTTGCCTTAGATATGTGCTGGTGTTTGTTTGTCATTAGGGGTCCAAATCCAGAGGCTGCATCCTCCTGAGGACCCAGCCTTCGTGGTCTACGTGGGCCAGGTCCTCCGAAGGCCGGGTAGGCCAGAAGTGAGGGGCTGTGAACCTGGACGGTCTAACTTTCAGTTTTGCGTCACCAGCTGTCTCGGTGGAGTTTAATAAACTAGGCCGCCTGCTCCTTGCTATCGAAAATATAACAGGACACTGGAGTAAATTCTCGATCATCTAACGCTTCTGTTTAATCGATTTTTCAGTTGACGTTTATTCAGCTGTAATCTCAGCCAAATCGATTTACTCATGAACAAATAAAACACTAAAAAACAAAAAAACAATCAATTTTTATTTTATCTAAGTAACTTATATACCATGTTTAACCATGTTTAAAAGACTGCGGGGCGTTTGAAAACACTGTGCTGGGAGTTCGCTGTTTTTGCTTCGGCTAGCTATTGAGCTGGTGGGTAACAGACCCAGAAAGAGTAATAAGAGTAATATTAAACCTAAGTAGCTGCCGCCATTGTTGGAAACTAGAACTGGCTGGGCCGTGCTATGAACTTTGGGATATAGTGGGTCATGAAGGATACACCCGACCCATCCTTCGAATCTGGGGAAAAGGAGGATGCATTTGTCGGCTGCATTTGTCGGAGTCTACGAATTTGGACAGCCTTCATCGCGCTGCTGTGATGTAATTGGTCTATAAATCCGGCCTCAGGAGGATGCAGCCTATGAATTTGGACACCTCCATTGTAAGCAAGAATGTTTTCTTTTGCCTGGTTAAATAAAGGTTAACTTGACTCAGTGCTGCATCTTGCGGCAGAAATTGGTACTATATTGTAGTACAGTCTGGACGAAGTTTAACTTCTGTTGATATCTCTTCAACATAATACAAGGACATGTTAGAGCTGATGGCTTTGGTTAACTTTGGAAACTATTTTTAAATGCAGAAATTTAGAATAAGAAGCTTTTTAATGTCAGTATGTAAATGACATCATACACATTTAAACAAAGAGGGCCATAAAAAGAGAGGATGACAGTGTGCATGTAATTATGGTTACAGCCATTGTGTTGCTCACTGGGATTTCCTGCCAACTATTCATTAACAATTCCTTCCAGAGTCAATAATTCTCCCTTTATTTTCCTAAATGTCAGTTGGGTTTATGCCATGCAGGTTAAAACAGGAAGTGATGTTGGCGGTCAGCTGAGGATGTCTTCGGCACCGGTGTTAGGATGTCCTGCATGTGTTTCCTTTGGGTGTGATATTTATTGCGATGTCCTGTTGTGTGTTTGTGACCTTAAAAATCAAGTTCAGCTCAACAGGAAATAAAACTGTGTTGTTATGGTAACCACCAACCAGTGACTTCATCAGCAGCATCATCTTTATAGCTTCCTGTAATTTGCGTAAACTCTGTGATGTCATCAGCTTTGACCGTTTGTTTTTTTTTTTTCACAAAATTCAGACAGTGTTGAAGAGCTCATTTACAATAAACACTTGAAACGATGTTCCTGATTCTTACAGGATTTTAATTTCTTTGGAACTTGAATTCAATCTGCAGGAACAACTTCTAAGATAAGCTGAACTTAATATCATCCATCTATTTACTTCCGCGTATCCAATTCAGGATTGCGTGAAGCCTATCCCAGCTGTTATAGAGTAAAAGTCGGGGTAGACATTGGGCAGGATGCCAGTCTGTCACAGGGATAACACACACAGATATTCCAATATTCACACCTATATGGGCAATTTAGATTCCCTAACTACATGTGTTTGGACTGTTGGAGGAAGCGGAGTACCAGGAAAGAACACAAACACAGAGAGAACATGCAGAAAGTCCTGGTCTGAGTGTTGGATTTGAACCCATGACCATCTTGCTGTGAAGCAACAGTGCTAACCTCCTGCCCATTTATATATCACTTATGAATCAAATAATAATCATTTGGTTTATTTCTATATGATAAAAAAATAATTGGGGATTGATTTCACAATCCGATACAAAAATAGATTTATCTCTTAAATTTTTCATTTGCAGACCTCAAGGACCTTTGACGCTGAAACTGCCTCATTGTTTTAGTGTTATTTAGCTCTGCAGTCAAAGGTGTTTAGTTTAGTCTGAGGTAAACTAAAGAAATGATGAATTATCTGCGGTGTGGACATCCATCAGTCTCTCGCGACAAAGTCTATAAATGCTAACACCACTGCACCAGGGGTTCATCCTAATACGGAGCTCAGCTCATGTTCTGGAAGGGTTTGTGTGTCTGTAATTAACGTCACAGACTCAAGGGGGTGCTAGTGTGACTAAGCACAAGCCTGCGCACCAAACTGCTTTTTCCCTCTCTCTCTCTTTTTGCCTTGCAACGTGTGAAACTCATAACTTCACGACATATCCAAGACTTTCATTGGGAAAGGGTGGCTGGGGCTCCACAGCGAACTTCCTGCACATGCTTTTGAGCATGGTGCCTGCAACAACACGGTCATTAAAATGTACTCCAGCAGTAGTCTCAAGGAGCCAAATAAACAAGCAGAGTGACTCCATTCTTCCACAATTCCCTGGGCCCTGGGTGGTTATCAGATGCCACTGAGTGGTGCTCGTGTCTTATTGGTCATCCAGAAACAGGAAGTGGGCCATCAGAGTCCCATGAGGCTGGGTGTTAATCTGGAGAGGACAGTCAGAATGATTTATAAACACACAGGCTCTTCTATGCCTTCTTCATCCCTCTTTCCCTCATCTCTCCTACAATCTTTCCCTTTCTCTTCACTCCTTTTTCCTCCTCAGAATGTTTCTTTAGTTGAATCACCACATTTTTCTGAAGCAACATCATCACATAGTTACTCACATACACTACTCTTAACACAAACAACTCCCTCTCAGGAACAGCTCAAACACAAACCGAGCAGGCCAGTCAGTGCATGCGTTCACCTCGATCAATCGATTTGAGGATTAATCATACCTCCTAATCTCCATTTGGCTTCACTCTGGTTTACTTTACTTAGGTTAACTGCTGGGGATTACAATAAGGCATTATAAGGAAGAGACACAGCACTCAAAGCATCCTGAATAGAAATCTTTGGTTGGTCTACCATGATGTCATGCAGTCTTATTCTGAAGCCTCGTGATGAGTGTTTATGACGATTGGATGAACCAGGGGGCGAGCTGACTGTGTAGTCTATCTTCCTTTCGATAAGCTTAATAAGCTAAAATTTACAAAATGGACTTCACATCTGACACAAAGATAGCGACTAAGCTCATTAATTCATCAGAGAAGTGTTTACTGAGGTCCCATAGAAGGTTTAAATGTGGGCTTCAGTCTTCAGGCCTGAGAACTACACCTGTCTTTGACTCTGTCTATTGCTGTGGTTGAATAAAAAAAATAAAAGCAAACCCTCATAACTCGTTTTCCTCATCACTTTACCTTAGCTTCAATGGAAAGCACCAAGGGAGTAAAGAAAAGGTGTGAAGAAGGTATAAGGCATCTTTGGGATACAGCAGACTTGTGTAAATAGCATCCACCATCACATTACTAACCTGTGAGGACTTTATTGGTGATGACCCGTATCCTCTCTAACCCTGTTTTTGCCTTTCTCTGAAATATAGGATTAGGACTGGTATCATCACTGATTGATAATGACTTACACCTCAAGGGGTTAAACTGAAAATGCAACTTAAGCAAACTGAACTTTTTTTAAACCTAGGGCAGATTTTCCTTATCCATAACTTGAACTGGCATGGCGTTAATTCAGAGGCATCAAACCAATCTCTGAGTAGGTTTCAGGTGTTCTAATAGGCTCAAACGCACCTCAGCTGAGTGGAAACTATTGTTTTTCTTGCATAGTGTGTTCAGTTATACAGTTTAAACAGACACTGGAATAGTTTTTAGGGGTCTAATAGTCTATAGGGACATACCCAAAACAATGGAAGGAGCTCCAGTGGTCCCTGAGTGAGCACATTAACTGGTGAGATATTGTGTACTGCTATTCTTACTCTGTGGTTTGCAGTATTTTGATTAAATAACAGTGATTAAATTGTTGATTTTAAAGATGAATAAAGAAGATATATATTTAACACACACATATGTTTAAGGTGTGTGTGTGTGTGTGTGTGTGTGTGTGTGTGTGTGTGTGTGTGT